TACATCTGTGACTAATAGTACGGCTATAATTAGATTGTTTCCCTTTCCAAATTTCTTTAACAAGGGTTGTAGAGTATGCAGTGCATTGGCTAATCTCATTGACGAATTCTAAAAAAATACAAAAACAAGGCAGTTAGATTGACAAGAGTTCAGTACAGCATTTTACATTTATTCTTTGAAGATGCCCTTATAGAATTATGTAAAAAAGAAAATATTATTTATAATGAGAAAAAAATTTAGGACGCATTAGACTTTCAAAGACTTCAAAAAAACATTAATTTCTCAATTGTTAATTAGACAACGATATACCGACTTCACTGTAATTATTTAAAAGGAAATTATTGCAAAAGTTGATGTCACTTATCTTTATCTGACCCCACGTCGTTGTCAGGTCACCAGTGTCTTTTCGTTTATTATTTCGTCATGGAGAATCCTGTGCAATAGTTGGCGATGATAAATTTAAGCGACGTATGCAAAATGCAGGCCGACAGGTTTGTGATGATAAAAGACATTTAACGAAATCCGCGAATGTTACATAACGATCGTTTTGCGTTTAAAAAAAAATCCTAAATTAAGTAACTTACGATTATATAGTCGCCGACAGTCGACGAAAGGTTAGTGACCAACGTAAAAGATGACCCAAATAGCCTGTCTGGGATGTCTAAAGACACTGGTTGATCTTTTTCGAAAATGACTATGTCTTCTGTTGTGGTCGGAGCCTTGGGGGTTGAACTGACGTGCCAGGAGAATCTCTTTTTAGCCTATAAAAAATTAAATTACACTCATGCACAAAGAAGAGATAAGATAAATATTTTACGATAGAGATGTTCAGTGCATTCACATATAACAATTTTCCAAAGATATTTACTTCAGTTTTATTTAACATTATTTTAGAAAATAGTATAACGTATTAGACTTAAAAGAAGCAAATAACTACCTAAAAGTTATTGTGTTATTACCTACAGTCATATAACAGAATTCACCATTACCACACTGTTAATTATCTAATTAAAAAAGAAAAAGAAAATGGAATTTGTAGCAGATTAACAGAGAAGCTTTTGTTTGAAATAGATTATCCCTTTTGAGAAAGCAACAGCTTTGAAGATCTCTTGTTGCATACAATAGGTACAGACAAGTTGATTATAGCATCTACATGGATATAACATCAGCTTCTGCATGCTATAAAGAAGAAAACAATTATTATTATACTAGGCCAATAAACTGACATTAAATATTCACAATTTTGTTGTCGCTTCTTTAATTATGTCAAGGGTTTCTCGGTCCTTAGCTTTTCGGTACACTACTTATTATAAACATTTTTTGTTTATCAAAGAATGTGGCAGAAAAATACAGTATGGAATTATAGACACCTAAACCTAAAGTTTGTATTATCTATTTTAGCTGAGGCATCAACATCTGTACTTGTATATAGTGATAACTGAAATCTGAAACTTGTACAGAGACGTAAGTGGTGTTTATCCTGATTATTTTGAAAAAGCTTTTTGATATTTGGGTTATGATGATAAGATTATATTTCAAATTAAAAATTAATTTTAACTGAGGTCTAACAAGATTAATATTTTTTAGAGCGCTTTGTCCAAATGGTCAAATTGTTAATTACTAGCTTTATAGATTAGATACGTAATATATACTTTCTATTAATTGTCTGCGTACGGTTGATTTTATATTGATAAGGTGCATTAACCTGTCTGAGCATAGTAGACTTTGTTAATGTTACATTTCAATATTTCGATTTTTAAAAAAAAATAGAGTCGGTCAAGAAAAGGTACGAAAATTTTAAATAACGTTTATTTGTCATAATTTATTTACAAAAGTACCAAATTTCGTATGTACACGTGCAAAATAATAAGTTTCATGTATAATATAATGACAAGTCATAATTTTCACTAATTGCAAGCTCGTATTAGCTTTCACCATTTTTAAAGCATTCATAGTAAGAATTATAAAAAAAGTCTACATCTACAAACTATATTTACATACACGTTTTTGAGCAACAAAATGGCAGCCGCACATTTCTCAATTAATTGACAATTATTACATAACATTATGAGTATTTTAATTAACAAACTTATGTTGATGTTTGTATATTGCTAGTACCTTTTGCAATCTTTCAATAAGTACGGACCTTGAATTAGACAAATTTATATGGGTTTTGTGACAATTATGCAATAAAATAAATAAGTCGGTACTATTCTCCGATGGGTCAAACTTTTTGCATTACTAATTTGTTAAATAACAAACAATTTAGTAGAATATAATACGAGAAAAAAAAAAGTACTAAAGGGAACAAAAAAGGCTTACCAAATTCTAAGTAAATGAGGCCTCAAAATACCTACTATTTAAAATTGTTCTCAGGGAGAACGATTAGTTTTAATATATCACTGGGTGGTCATAATAAAGCAAAATGATACCCATAAGTAACATTTTCTTTTAGTCACTCCGTAACGGTTTATAATAATAGATTTATTTTTAAAAGCTGTAAAAGAAGAAGGAACAGAATAAGGAAATTAAGATGAAAATTAATTCAGATTTAAAAGTGTTCTACTATTTTGCGTTAGGAAAGTTCAAATTTTAGGGAGTACTTCTACTAATAAGTTCCATAAGAGTCCCCATTGTGTCTGGTACTACTTCCTCCAGCGAAAGCTCCTAAAAGACCCCCGAGTTGACCCCCCACATCAAAGCCTTTCCCCGCAGATGAGCCTCCGTGAAGACCCCCGCTATCACCGCCGTGTCCTTTGTTGAATAAAGAACTACCGCTCGTAAGTTTATGAGTAACGAAGGAAATTACAGGTCCGGCGGCTTCGAGTTTTGACCCGATGATTCCCGATATTGCTCCCGCTAACGTCGTTTTCTCGTCCTTTGGTGGATAAATTCCGGCAGCTTTGTTCTTAGGAATGTTTGATTTGTCAAGATGATCAATCCATTCCGTTTTCTTATCAATGAAGGAGTTAATTTTCTGAAAAAGAAATTAGGCAGCCCATGTAAAAACGCAACAAACCTGAAACCCATTTATACATTACAATATTGGCGATAAATTAAATACTTATGTCTTTAAAACGCCATACGTAAATCGCGATTTCCAGCTATTTGGATCTCATCAGCGCGCCGTAGACAATTTCGACATAACATCCAGAAATTGTTCAATAATTGTTTAATTGCTTTCTTACTTTCTTGAACGTTACATGCTTTAATCTGAACGTGTAATTATAAGTGGTACGCGGTTAAAATTATCAAAATTTGTTCGCAATTAGCCGTTGTAAATTATGATTAATTATTATATTAGTTGCAATAAACACACTGGGCAGATACTTTCATCACACTTACGTTCTGTATTTATAACCCAAAAACCAAGTGAATGTACCATGCAATTTTCGTGTGCGTAAAATACTGTATGTTACGAGTGAAATGAAAGCTTACAAAATTTAACTAAACTCATTTAATTGCGTACAAACAAAACAAAATGTTAGCTATTTTACTGAAATCCTTTTTTTATTTTACGAGCGTATATATGTACACTAAGCTACTAATTTTTAAGATATTCAATACGTTTCTACCCACTTAGAATTCAAATTTGCGTGATATTTCTTCCGTTTATAGACAATAGTCTTCAAATTTAAGTACAGGCTGTACATAGCCATCTAGTGGGTATTTACTGCTACTGCAATATATCATATCACGAGGCTGTCAAATTGGTAACTGAATAAATGTAAAACCTAATAAAATCAGTTTGTAAATTTGGTTTCGTTTGGTAAATGGATATGCAAAATGTTTGTTTTCCCAAACTAAATAGCTAATAACTTCGCTTAAACTAATCTTTTCCTCATTAATTTAAGATTATCTGCAATGGTAAAAAGTATTTCAAAAATTAATTCACTTTAATGCAATTTTTATGTAAACGATTTTTGAAATTTTAACAAAATAAAGTGAGATAATACGCATGCGATCGCGGTAATAAGTACACAAATTTTTTTTGTTATTAATGCGGCCTTCTAATAAAAGAAAGCGAGCCAAGTGTATTGCTTAAGTAGCTTATCATCCATTAAGTTTGTGTTGTTTTCAATGTCAATTTAATTCGTTGCTTAACGGCGGCATATCCGTATATCTAACAAAATCTAAAGCTAATTATGTAACTTTGTATATTTAAAGATACGGTCGGTTATCCTTAACGAAATTGTTGAAATCGTGCGTGGACGATTATTGGGAAACACTCAAACGCACAGTTGGTTTGTTAAGGTTGCAGTCATGACAATGGAAGAGGTGACATATGAACAGATTATTTTTGGTTGAAAATTTTCCTGAGGAATATTAAATCCTACAAACATATTGCAACAACGAAATTTTGTTTAGAAACCGTCGTAACTAAATCTTTCTATCTTCATTTCGATGGTTTGTCATAATTCCACGACAGAATAAGGAAGTTCATGGTGATCTACCTGGTAGAATTTGTCTGTATCTTGTGGAAGCTACATGCGACGCGCTGCTGAGATCCAACAGGATCAAAATTACCGTCCGCGTCTGGCAGTTTAAACAGAATACCATGAACTTCTTTATTCGATTTTGGTAAAACATAACGGAATAATAAATAAAAAATGCACAGAAATTATGATTGTTTTAAGGAAGTTTGAAGTAAATTGTCGATAATTTTGCGGTAAACCCAACGATTACAAAATACTTACGTGGAATACGAATCCTAAGAGCGCATTCTTGAGCACATATTTGTGTTCCACGCCTTGGGCTTTATAATCTACTTCAGGTACTTGAAAGTCGTGATGGTGGTCATAGCCTCTCTTTTCTCGATCTACATCTGCAATATTCACTTCCTGAAACCAAATAAGCCTTAAATTTGCTTAACACTTCTTTCCCGTCAGTAACCAACGATGTGTAATGACAAACAAATGATACGTCCGATTTGTTTACCTATATATGACGTTAATATAACAAATAAAGTAATCATTACAAGGATTTACTGATTAATTCTCCATTAATAAATGAATTAATATTTAGAAGAAGGACAAATGTTGCTACAGCGAATCTTTTTCGTTAGAAGGTAGATGATAACAATGAAAGTTAGTCCATTTTGTCGTTTGTGATTTTATTCTGTAACTTACCTGATTTTTTAAATGTTTACTATTACATAATTGCAAAAGTTATCTAACGTCCATTTTCACTTGTATTAAATAACCGCATCATTTTATATGTACTCATGTCTTTCCCATTGTTTCACCAAGTCTCATTATTTATTGTTAGCAATTGCTACCAATAAATAATCATAAAAAATTTATAATATTTGTAAAACAAAATTCAGGTCGAAAGTAAATTTAATTTATCCTTTTGTAAAGGACTTAGTGTTAGTGTTCAGGTCAAAATGTAAAGTAAATGGATATACATCAGCACTTGTGGAGTAGATTGTAAATTGACAAAGAATTTCTCCTTGGTAAGAGCAACAAACAAACAAACAAACGAACAGCTATTTCAATTTTCTTGCAGCGTAGGTGCGATAACTATACTATACACAATTTATCCAGATTGCTATGTCAATACAGATATAACCATGCGTATTAACTAATAGCAAACCTAAATTTACACACGTATTTACTGCTAATAAGTTTCTTGTATGTATGTCGTACCAAGGAGTGTGATACATTCGAATGGTAGAAACTGAAACCTGTAAGGCAAATAATGTAAAGTACATTCGCCGTGTAGGTATGCATTAATGTCCATTTTCCATTTAAGTTCATTCTCATTGCAAAACAAAACTAATCTAATAAATGGAATTGTTACTTAAATCGTTCTAATCGCTATACGACTGAATAATGAAATTTGCTGCTATTTTCTAGATTATTGCGAGGTAAGATTAATGCAAGGAACCTAATCTCACTCAGCCTAAACCTCAACATTTCTTATCAGTTTTAGTGATCGTTAAAGGTATCTATTAACTTATTCTTTTATAATTTCCTGTTGTCAATTTTTACGCAATCGCCTTAGGATTTTCTAATCGTTTGGTTTTTTTTATTGTAAAACCACACGCGAAGGTGGAATTTCAAGCGAACTGACAGCCAGTGAAATTAAAGTAAGAAAAACATAAAGCATGCTCTTGTTATCAGTGCTATATCATAACAACTATTTTTGATCAGAAATATAAAATCAATACATCTAGCACCGCACACTGTTTAGTTAACTTATTGATTGATTGATTTACTGATTAATTAATGGTATCAAAAAGTTTTATCTAATTAAGGTATCTTATTCCATTTTCATTCATTAATGTGTACTTGTTAGTGTATACTTGTAGCTATGCTCAATTCTTTTTTATTAATTTACGAATATACGTCTCCACAAGTATAAATAGTTTCTTAATTAATTATATTTTATTGTATACAGTGGCAATTAAAAGAAAATAAGTAATTACTTCCTGTAAATAACTTACGCATAGTAATATTGTTCTTGAATTCACGCTTTCTCTTATACCTACGATAAATTTGTGGATAGATACATATCATAATTGTAATCATTAATTTTATTTTAATCGTTATAGATTATATCCAATTTGTATCATTTCACTCATAGTTTATGTATTTAAAATTTTTCAAAATCATAGTGCATGTCAATTATTGTCTATTAATTCATCAATACAATACTAAAAAACTACACACAAAACTATGTGGCACGTAAGTATAAATTGAAGAAATCGTCTGTAGTTTAAAAAAGAAAATTAATTTAAATGTAGTACGATCCGATAATTTGAGAGCATGAATTATGTCTATTTCGTAGTAATGAGAAGTTTTATAATAATAGTTTGAAGCTGCTATAATTATACAGTTGATGTACCAATATTTTGTATTTGTATCGAATTTTCTTCAAAATACTTGTAGTAAAATACAATAATTCAGTCAGTGAAGTGAATACATTAACGGCTGTTGTAGCATCATACGTACAACGGCAAAATTTTACAACATTTGTTGGTGCCGTTGGACAAACCTCATATAATGCCTTCTCTTTTAGGTAGGATATGATTTTAGCAAGGTGAAGACCCCTTAAAGATCTTTAAATTCGATGGCCAGAAGAAGACCTTGAAGTATTTGTACATAAAATAAACATGCAAAATGCCTGTAGCATTCGACAGCTACATTGACTAAGTTTTATCAGTCCCCGTTGACAGCTATCAAAATGTTTAATTAGATTGTGAAGCACGATGATCCACTTATAATTTTCTCTTTAATTAGTTCAGTCTGCACAATGGTGTGATAGATACGTTCTTTAGAATATTTAATTGATGTTTTGCTTAATGTGTTCAATTTAATTCAAAACAAGTGCATCAAAACAGGGTAATAACGAGGAAGCGTGAGCATTAAAGCAAAGGATTCAAGCATCAATATTGCATAAATGAATAATGTCTATTCCACTTTCTCTTTGCTCTTTTGCGTTTTCACCTTCTTCGAAGATGAGACTGCGATATACGTGTAGCTGATGGATTCTAAAACTATAAATTAGCATGCACCATGGGTACGTGCTATAGCGTTATTTTACTCGGGAGATGGCGGAAGGAAAATCGCTTGCATAGGAACCGATGCGGACTTTTATTTTTTTCTGTAGGAAGTAATTAGTGCAAACACCATGCGTTACATACATGATCAAGTGTTCGTATAATCTTTTACGCTTGTTTCTTCGTAATTTTGGCGGTCATTATAAACGTTATATAAGAAAATATATTAACCACTCAAATTAAACCCGGAATTGCCTTGTTGGAGCAACCGTCTATTCCTGTTTGAATAGAAAGTAATAAAAAAGTTTTCAAAAACACATTTCATGAAAATACTACAAACGGCACAGTGAACGCCATCTGTAGCACAATGCTGCATTTTTGGATTACGTATTTACAATTACAATTTACGAATACAGACCACTTCGAATTATTTTACATTTCATGAAGTTAATTTCGTTTTCTGCACTTAATTTGGAATAAAATATGTAAAATTTATATTTCATTTTTAATGCCATTGATTCTTTAAATTTTAGGATAGACAGGAGGGCTGTGCACTCCTTCCTCCAATGTTACCTTCTTTTTGTGCCGGTGTTGGCATATTTGTTCTGGTTTAAATTTTGTTAGAATGAGATGCGATTTATGATTTACACCAACAAAAAATATTACAAAATAGTTACTGTTTTAGGATAGACAGGAGGGCTGTGCACTCCTTCCTCCAATGTTACCTTCTTTTTCTGCCGGTGTTGGCATATTTGTTTTGGTTTAAATTTTGATAGAATGGGATGTTTTTTATGATTTACACCAACAAGGAATATTACAAAATAAAGTTACTGTTCTTGCATATAAGTTAACCTTACTGTAATATACAATTCCTATAAATGAATATATGTATACTATAATATGTTGGTAGAATAAATATTTGCAGTTCACTAATTCTTTTAATCAAGCTACATCTTGTAACAAAACACCTCTCGCAAGCCATGAAGTTCGGTACACTCTTGAGACTTAACACTTCTTTTTTTTCACAAATTTTTAAAAAATTCAAAACTAATTATCTATTACTTAAGTACCGATTACTCGCTTTTCGATTCACTGAAGTGGGAAATTTCAAGAAAGTCTAATTGGCACTTTGATGTGTATGCCTTTTATGAGTAAATTTTAGTTAACTAGTGTTTAGAATAAGCAAAAATTTTGAATTTTACCACAGTGTCGAGTCGGAGCCGCCACCATATATATTGTCTTTAAAACATCATAAATAACTGAAAATAACTTTTTGTTTAAACATTATCAGTTGCAATGCGCATATGTTACGCTAATTGACAATAATAAATTGAAAATTATTTCCTATGTTCGTTTAAGGTGAAAAGCTGTTATGTGAATTTAAATTATCCTACTCGCTAAATTTGGTTCTGACAGACAATAAGAAATTTCTCTTTTATTTGAAATCGGAAGTGTGAAAAGTCATGCAGTCAGTAAATATTCCGGAAATAGACACCTTCGTTATGTATAACTATATAACTTTGCTTCGAGCTACACAATTATTGCTATCGACCCGTTTAAAACAGGATCCTGCGACATCAAATACATACAATGTAGACATATTTCTACAAAACTGTAGGTAAAATACAATCAGGTAACTAAATAAACAAAATTACTTTTAATTTGCATTATTGATTATCGAATATGGTCAGTTTTTCTTCTAAATATCAAAACTACTCGTAGGTTCAGTACTAAAAATATTATATTGTTCCTATTTTTATTGTTATCAATAAATTATTTTTGCGTTAAATGATTGTTAAACGAATACACTATATGATAGCTTTACTTATCAGGCAACAAAGCGAATGAATTCATTGATTAATCGCATTTTGCGGAGGAGACTTCAATGAGCAGTTAAGCGACAAACCCGATATTCGTTTTACGCTACCTAATATATAAGTACCTATTAATTTAATAATGCTGCAATGGATAAATAATATTGAATTGCAATCGCTTTTTGTAGTTTAAGTCATAATCTAGACACAATTATTTATGTTCATTTTATGTTGTAAACAATTATATAATGGATGCTGTTTTAGCTCATTGTTAATAAATAGATAATGCAAATGGTCATGATTTTTAGTTCCGATTATTCTTTCCTTTTTCTTTAACATTGTTTTTTTTAAGTAGTTACATTAGGTTTATGTTTGTTTTCGTATTGAAACGATTATATATATATACGCAAACCATATCTGATGGTTATTAAAAGTTAAGCACCTGTATCGGTTTTCGTTTTAGTTTGTGTTAAATAAGTGTAATATTATATATAATGGAACATTACGGTTTATTTGTTCGTCAATAACAACAATGTATACACAATCGTTTTAAAAAAAAATGTGTTGCATTAGAACAAACAAAGCAACTTCTTGCGTGTTTTTGAATTAATTATGAATTCTAATAAATAAATGTTCGAGAAAAATATATTGTTGAAGGCTGTTTTATCATAAAGGTTGCTTTATTTAGAAAGTAGCTGATTAATTTCCATTTTAATAATATTATTATTAACGCAATAAACTGCGGTCAATAAGTAGTTATTCCAGTTGTAGCGATTCAGACATTTTAAGTTTTATTAATATCTTGTGTTGCACAAACGAAAACGCGTATCCACACAACCGGCTTTACTTTTACTCTCGATCTCCATCCACTTTTACTTTTGTTAATACAGATTTACGTTTATTTATTAAACAATTACTTTATCTACTTGTTTTTTATCCATGCGTCGATTAGTTTAAAAATTTTAAATAAATACCTGAACATCTCTATCATGCAGTAGTTTCTATATTGATAATAGATTAATGCTTTCATTATCTATAGATAATTAAATTTAACTTACGAATTTCGTTGGGTCTACTCCTGAGTCAGATATTTCTCGTTTGCTAAAGCTCTTGCTGTGGACATTGGTGAACAAGAGAGCCGCCAGGACAACGGTCAAACTCGTACAAAGGAGCAGGTTCATTTTTACTGAAAAACAAATATAAATGTAAGTAAAAGTTGGCACATCGTAAATAACACTTATTTGAGTTATTAATGATGTTAATTATCCGGAAAATGCAAATGACTATATCGAGTGGTTAAGAAACTTTTAATGCGCAAGGCGAATTTGAAAACTTGCGAAAGCGTTATTTATGTTAATCAATTGTGAAACTGATCAAGTGTATTTATGTGTTTGGATGTTGTGAAACCGTTCGAAAACACACACAAATATTTCTTTCCTTGATCACTTCACAAAAACAGATCACAATTTTCTTTATTTAAAAATAAAAGAAAATCCAAATAAATATCAATGTCGTACCACTATATCTGCGTTTTCTTTATTGCTACTTTTTTAATTTAATGCTCGTCAGGCACCCTAAATGTGTTTCGCGAAAAGCTCTAGTACGTGTGTCACTTTATAAACGAAAATGGTACATGCATGTCACTAGGGGGTGATCACATCACGTGGGTCACGTGGCTACTGTGCACTAATTTTTGAATGTCAGTGAGATGTTCGTGGTGGTTTGGTCGTGTGCCCACTACCACACCAACAACGAACTACTACTACGTACATAAGAAAGGAACGAAGAAGGAGTGAAACGAGGACTTACACTTTAGAGTGGCGACAGTTGAACGGTGAATGTGATAATGTCTTAAAAGTCTTCTTATTTCTAGTAGGCATATATGTAGGTCGTTTACTCTCGGCTAAAACTGAACATGTGCACTCGAAGAATGGCGAATCGGATCAAAGGGGTCAAGGAAGCTTATAAACAGACCCCAAAGCTCTGCTATTTAAAAACTCATTGGACACCACTCGTACCTATCCACATTTTTTGACTATTAATACCTAAATTCATCAGTAACGCAAATATGACATTTAAAAATTAACTACGTACTGAACTTCACATATTTCACCATTTTTTAAAAAGAAGTTCTCTAATAAATTGGTAAAGGATTTCTCTGCGAACAAGTAAACTGATGCTATCCTGATTGAAGTCTACAGGCCATCGTCGGTTGGAATTGTTTTCAAGACAATATTGTAAGAATTAAAGCTAAAATGGGGAAAAGTTTACCGCTCAAATAAACTTCAGATTATTTCGGAATTGTGTAAAAAGTTTACGAAAATTTTGTTATAAAAAAGTAGTGTCCATACTTAACCAAAAATAACTGGAAACTTTTAGAAATAGGAAACCGAGACTTTTGCTGAGAATTTTAGAATCTATTTTACATATTTAAAGAAACACGTTGAATGAATTTAAAAAGTGTTAATTCGAATAAAATGTTGATCAGAGGTGCGTAAAGACAAAGGTCTCGGTCCGATTCCTGGAAAGGGTGTGACAATAACAACAATTTTTCATCATTAACTTGAAGTAATTTATAGTAGATAAAAATAAAAATGAATTTTCGCATTAAAATTAATAATTTTAAATAAAAAACACCACCGACAATTAATTCTCATTTCTGTCATATACGAGGGTGGATTGATAAGTTTCCGGCCTAACCAAGAGATGGCGCCACTAGGCCTACCTTGAGGTGACATTCTATAGTACCATCCTTGGATAGCTTGTAGCTATAGTTTCAGCCCGATCTCCTTGCTAGTGTAGGTTTGACAGCACGCTGAACAAGACGCCTCTGTGGTTTTCGTAAAAATGGAAAAGCAGGAAAATCGTGCTGTCATCAAATACTTTTATTTGAAGGGGTTAACGCCGAAGGAAATTAAAAAAGAGATGGACTCAACACTGGGGACATCCTCCCCGTCATATTCAACCGTTAAGCAGTGGGTTTCCGAGTTTAAAAAGGGTCGTGTGAGCACCTCTGATGGGCCTCGCTCAGGACGCCCCGTTGAGGTCACAACTCCAGATATGATCGAAAAAATTCATCAAATAGTGCTGGGAGACCGCAGATTGAAAGTGCGTGAGATAGCTGAGACCTGTAAGATGTCATATGAACGTGTGCAACATATTTTGCACCAACATTTGCATATGGAAAAGCTCTGTGCAAGATGGGTGCCGCGTTTGCTAACAGTCGACCAAAAATTGATTCGAAAAAACATTTCTACCGCAAATTTGTCATTGTATAAGCGTAATCCAAGCGAATTTTTGCGTCGATTCGTAACCGTTGACGAAACGTGGGTCCACCACTACACTCCTGAAACCAAAGAACAGTCTAAACAGTGGATTGGACCAGGGGAACCAACTCCAAAGAAGGCAAAAACAATTTTTTCGGCGAACAAGGTTATGGCTACTGTTTTTTGGGATGCAAGAGGTATTATATACATTGATTACCTTGCAAAGGGTAATACTATCACTGGTCAATACTACGCAGACTTATTGCAACGTTTGAGCCACGAGGTGAAAATTAAACGACCTCATCTGGCGAAGAAAAAAATCTTGTTTCATCACGATAACGCACCAGCGCACACGTCAATCGTTGCGACGGCTAAAATCAACGATCTAAAGTTTGAATTGATGCCGCACCCTCCTTACTCTCCAGACCTAGCCCCGAGTGACTATTTTCTGTTCCCTAATCTCAAAAAATGGCTTGGCGGTAAGAGATTTGCGGACAATGAAGAAGTAATCGAAGCTGTAAATGGTTATTTTGAGGAGCTTGACGAATCAGTCTATAGAGATGGCATTAATAGACTGGAACACCGCTATGAGAAATGTATCAGCCTTGGAGGAGATTATGTTGAGAAATAAAAAAAAAAATTTTTAAAAACCTTGTTTTTCTTGGTCAGGCCGGAAACTTATCAATCCACCCTCGTATATATACGTATATACTAGGTCTGTTACATCGAAACCAAGTGTTAAGTTCGACTCCAAATAAAGGACTTCAATGATCGATAACGCTACGAACCCGTTGTCGGTAGATTTGGATTACAACAAAGATAACTATTTTCACTTTGAACAACATCAGAATTTATCTTCATTTAATCTTACATATGTGTAATTTAATTTACCCAATGTGAGGCTATTTCAAATCAAACCATGTAACCATTATCAGTAAAAACAAATGATTCTTTTAGGAGAAACGATACACTATAATTTTGTGTTGGTATGAGTTTTGGATGCATAATTTACAGACGAACGAATTCGTAATTGTGCATATTATTATGATGCGATGTATTTGTCCTATATAACCTGCTACTAATAAAAAGAGCATTCCAAGCCATTGACCTCTAAATAACTTTTTCGATGTTACTTCATCTTCATAAATAAATATCCAGTGTTAAAGAGCAAAAAGCGTTTCTTGATTAACGTAACGGATTGAGCTATTGCCTAGAGCGCTTCGGTGAATTTAAAATCGAGTAAACTTCATTGCATTGTAGGTGTAACAGAAAATCGATTATCATTGCTCTGGTAACCGATTTATTTTCAATATTAGGATATATACAATGTATGCTTTATTGCTTGAATGTAATTACTGAATTATTTTTTTAAATTGCAATGATTGATTCATGACTCGAATCATAATTGCATTTGTAACAATAAAAAGGCGCTAAAAAGCATAATATAGTCTTTATCTCGTATTAGTTGTATCCTGTCCAAAATTTGGAAACAAGAAACAAATTGTATCACAATCTGACCCAAGTCAATAGTGCGTGATAGGTACGTAACCCCTGACATTTTTTCACTACTTTAGGAATTTAATTTTAAATAATTCTTTCCTAATGCTAGCTTACGATGGACAACAAATGTTTTCAAGGAATAAGGAATAAATAACGAAATGAAAAAAGTATAATCTTTTTGTGTTCGTTATGCTTCGTGAGATATAATATTTATCCTTAACAATGATGTCATTAGTGGAAGGTTAATTAAATATTTAAAACTAGAGCTGCCTACAGTTACCTACAAGAGTTACAGCATATACATATGTAAACCTACATCAAATTAAATGTTAAAGTCACAATTAATATTTGTTTGGATCAAGAAGCCAAATGATGTTGAGTGTATCTGGAAGAATATGTTTATGTTATTTGTTTTTGTACTTTTACTTGCAATAAATATAACAAATCGGGAAATATCCACGGCGTAGTGTTATGGTTGATTTCTCACCACATAATTTAGAAGATTTGTGGTTTATTGTACGATATCATATTTTAGTTTTATAATACTAGGTATGTATATTAGTTCATTAAAAAACATTCCACCAAGTGATTATATTTTCACAGCAGTTTATTTTGAAAGTTGTAGGAATTGGCAAAATGTTGTTTTTCGATTAATTATTTATTCATTACATCATACTGATTCCAATATCTGCAATAGTTATTGCGAGTAACACACACCACATTAATAATAAAGTCTTTTAAAAGCTTTAACTGTGAATTTTAAACTTTAAAGGAACTTGAGTTAAGCATTTGCGATCATGTTTACTGTAATTAGGGACTCTTGAGGTCTCTGGTCGTTGTCTATTAAGGGTTTTCTTCTTTAACGTTTCAATGACTCGCTAGGACGTTGTCTTCAGGAATTCTTTCTCCCAGAGTGGCTGATCGAAGTCATCAGCCTTCTTCCCAGGCGATAACCATAGGAAAAAGAACATCGAAATCTGTTATTTACGCTAGTTGGAAAAATGTTGAAAACGTGAAAATTTATTCAACGTAGACAAGAAAGCCTGAGGATAATGAATTACATTAAAAGAATTTCTTTATTATGATGTTGATTTAATAGTATTANATGCAAAGAACGACGACGTAACTATAGCAAGGAAGAACTTAAAGATGCCTTGTTTAGTCTAAAAACAATGAATAATAAAACAGACGATGTAATAGATGATATCTTATGGTTATAACACTTGCCTTTCCACTTAAAAATGGTGTCCGGTTTATCTAAAAATATTACCACTGTGGAAATAAAAAAAACATACTTTACATAAAAGGAACCAGTTTCAAACCAGCAAAAAAAAAATTACAGGAAGGTGAATGTACCAAAAAACAACAGACGTACAGAGTATATAATAAACAAAAAAATACATAAATTATTGGAAATACTACGGCGCGGTGATAGGTGCTATTACATCTCAAGAGCAAGTTATATAACCGGATTTGTTACTTTTACTTTTATGAGTTAATTGGTAGTATCATATAGACAGTGAGAGTGTTATCTTCCAGAACTATCAAAAAACTTTCCATGCTATTATGCATTTTAACAAAGTTTCCATGATTCGTAAACTGCATCACTTTCGAATATTAGGAATGTTGAGGATACTATTATAAAAATTACCAGAAGGTGTACTAAATAAGCTTGCAAATTAATCTTATAAGTCGGATTGAAGGACCTGCTTCTTACCCTGGAATCATCGTCTTAATAATTTTTTTAAGAATCATGAAGGATTTTCGTAAAAAATTGAGTATCTACATTTATAATAATCATCAAGGATAAGTACTATGCATCAAGGACTTAAGTTAGGTTATGATAGGGATAATCGCTATGATTAAGCTGTGATGATGGTCATCATGATAAGGTCGTTAGTCCTAAGTCACTGTTAAATTATAAAAGAAATCACTATTCAGGGCATAATTTCTAACAATACAAATCCTTATCTTTGAAATGGAATATTATAATATGAT